AACTACTTTTCTAAAAAAAGTAATAGGAATTAAACTTGATAGTCTAGAGTTTACAACACTCGCGCATACCAACAATTTGTGTTGTACTATCAAAATAATAGTCTCAACAATTTATCTAGAGCAAAAGCTCAATGTTAACTTTTTCTAATGAGGCTTATGTAGAATGAAAACACGATGATGTCCAACACGAGTTTCATTAAAACGGCCAAGGTGTCGAAGAACCTGCAGAACAGAAAAGAAGAACTTGATTTGTCAACAAATCCTTGATAACAAAATCCACAAGGAAAAACTCATATTCAACCTGTATGAGAATTGAAATTTTAAATCAAATATATAGGAAGACAGTGGGCGCGGTTCCAATAAATAACTAAAGCATTTGTACTCTTATTTAAGAGATAGACCAACACTTAATATCTATGGATGATAACTAATATTCATAATCATAGTTGAATGATGGTCCTAAGTCTTATTGGGCCTAATTGAACTCTAAAAGCCACTTTTACGATGATAATTGACCAATATGAGGTTTGAGTTTTCTCAATACAGGTTGGATGGCCTAAAAACAGATCTAGAATAGACTTTAATATCATTGCAACTCAACTCCACAAAATCAATTTGTATTGTGAGAATTTAACAAACTTTATAAGCTCTAATTTAAGTCATATCACTAACCAATGAAGTACATGTTTTTTTCCTAACCAGATAGATCGAAATCATTATTCATGCTTCACTTAAATGAAATATGTTTTTTTTTTGTAGTATTAAAGCCATAGAGCTTATTTACCGCAAAAACTAACTAGTAAAAATCAACAAGACAGTAGGCATTGATTATAAATGCATCTTATTCAAGTGCCAACTCTAGATCTTTGGTCATCTCAGAAATGATTAGAACATTTCTAAGTGGTCAGGAAGTTTCTAAACAGATATGGGAGACTCCTCTGATTTTCCTTCAACAATATGCTAAAGGTGAAAGGTGACGAAGGAATTGTAATGGGCTTGGGCATTTAGTATAACTACATCAGTTTAGATACTTGCCATGACAATTAATTCAAGAACAAGTTTGGCTTCCCCAATATAGCGTGATTTGAAAGACAAGAATACTTACTGTCAATATTGCCTTTCCAGTGTTGTCAAGTTTAAGCGCTGGACCTTTTATATCAGCTTCAAGAAAAAAGTGTTTTCCTTTAATCCCTTCCATTGTTGCAATATCTCTTATTTCCTACATTATGAAATCAAGTGACAATCTTTTCTTTTGGCATAAACCAAAGGATGTATTAGGCGTGACTAGCCATCCTTTTTATTTTGAGAATATGGTTGTTTAAGTGAAAATAGAGATTTCACTCACCAGAGCTTTTTCCCAAAGATTTTCTGCCAACTTCATGAACAAGCAAAAATAATTGTCAAGAAAAAAGGAAACTCTAACCAATGTAAAGTGTAATTTAAGAAGAAAACTGTTCGCTTACCTTCTTTTTGGGAGCTGCGATAAGCTGAGTATTAGCTTCCGCATAAGACGCCATATCTGTGATTGCTGCATTCACCTTCTCTAAAGTAAGCCTACCCCTCATATATCTGTAATATCAGATCTACTGTTATGCAGTGAAATATATAATAGAGTCGGAAGTTTTAACTCTCTTGTCATTAACTCTCGGGTAAAGATGAATTTCATAACCAAAGAAGTGAAAAACATGGAAGTTATTGACACTCTTGTCAATGTCTTAATGATAAAATCAACATCTCTTGAAACATTTCTTGCAAATTTTATAGATTTCCCAAACATGTTCTAATTTGAGCAAAACTTGCTAGAAAAATTAAGGGAACCAGAGCTACGGGGACAATACAATGAAAACACAATTTTTAAACAACCTTAATCTGGGAACGTTTTGCCGACAATATGTATGTTTTAGAATCCATTTGAATATGAACTAGCTGAACTCAGTAAAATTCAACAGAGAAAATCAAAAAATTATTCATAGTTACTTACGATGACAAGGAATCTAGTTCACTTCCAGTGACATACCACGTTGGTGGGGGACCACGACCTTTTTTCTCCTAAAAATGAAAACAGAAGAACATTTTGGGATCATATTTTGACAATGCATCTACTGAAGTTAAGAAAATAGCTACGCTTCATTGAGACCAGGATAAACAATTCTCAAGAGGGTTACAGATTGAAGAGAAACGAAAGATAGAAACATACAATATAATAGAACAACTCTAAACTATCACCACTTGGAAAAGATTGGGGAGATAACATCAAGGAAAAGTTAGGGTAGCCTAATTCAATTATCTAATGCAAAAAAGTATCAACATAATTCAAGAAAATTTACTGCCATCATGTGTAAAAAGCATCAATGCCAAGTTTATTACTAGTGTTTATGAGTCAATTCCAGTGCTTCTTTAAGTACTTAGGCTTTGACTATTGCAACTAGATGGACAGAGATCTTGCTAGATGTAGAACAAAATGTCAATTGAAAACATATTTAGATTACCTTAGGCAATGCAGGAGGCTCGGCATCAAGTTTTAAAGCCTCAAATGATCCAGAGTCTAGTCCAGAAAATTCAGGAAACAAACTAAATAACAACAACAATAAAGCAATATGATATCAGTCAACACTCATTAAAAACCAAGTACAAAACAGGACTAAAGCAAAAGTAGTTACGCTCTACTAGTTTCTGAATTTGACAGTGTCATTCTATCAGCCGTTTGGGAAGGAACGTAAAGAGACATATTCTGCAGTTTCTTTTGCTGCTGCAGCAATGCATCAATAAATTTCTGCAACAAGGTCAAAACAACTAACTTTAATGGTCATCCATTGTCAATTAACAATTTCCTAACCAATCATTCAAACTTCCCTAAAACAAAAAGCTATCAATTATCTTCTAATTTATCATGAATGAATGACCTAATTGACAGATTATTCACAATTCCAAGAATGATTTTAGGGTTTCGGTAAGTTCATCAACCGAATTTCACAAACAAGTGATACATCAAATTAAAACCAGCAAAATCAGGGAGAATACCTTCGCTTTAGGAATAGCTTCCATCTCATTGCGAAGGTTGTCCTTAAGGGTTTGCACCTGAAGCTCCATAGCACTCACAGCAGCATCAACATCGGAAAGATCTGGAATACTGCTCGCTGGATACACTGCAAAACACAGATACAGATACAGATTCGTATATATTAAAATTCGATATATAGAACATAGTGAAGAAATCGAAAGGGGAAGGGTTGATTGAAAAACTCACTGCTTCTAGCAATAACGAATTCTTGAAGCTCTAGTATGCGAGAATTGAAGGAAGACATCAATGCATCCAATGATGAACCAGCGTTCTTCGAGTTCGAGTTCGAGTTCGAATCCATCACTATGTTTCTGAAATGGAAAATGGTTTTTCGTGTTTGCGAAGACCTATTGGTTTGAGATTTTGAAAAAGATAGCGTTTGAAACTGTACGCCTGTTTTGGCGGCAACGTTTGAAGCTGCTACACTGTGTTTTTATATTTCATTTTCCTTTTGCATAGAAACTAAAACTGGTACTAGTTACTTATGGTTTTTATTTTTATTTCTATTTTTTACAAAAGGCGGAAACTGTGGTTGTTGAGGCAATTTTGGCATCCTATAGACTCAACTACAACTTATAGCACGTTTGGTTTAGCGGTGGAAATCCAAACCCACGTTTCAAATCCCTTTCCACCGTGAAAATGAAAAACCACAAAATATAAGTTTATGCTTTACCGTGAAAATGCACCGCGCTTCAATCACAATGTCGAACTAAGTTTGTTAGTTTCTATTTGAATTCATTCAATTATATATTGATGAGTAGTGAAATTTTTATCGATTTAAAATTATTGTACATAATTGATTGCAACATCCTTCGTTTTATCAACGTCCTTCACCTCAATCGACTTATCATCTTCATTGACCTTATCTGAAACCTTTACGAGAACTTTGACAATATTATCGTAGTACATCATATCTAACATGTTAAAAAAACATGAATTCTGTTAAAACTGAATGCACAGAACTTTTTCGGATATACACTTCTGAATTATGATAGGTTGAATCGGAAGTGTATATCTGAAGCGTTGCTGTTTTCATCTTCAACAAATCAGCCACAATGTGAAAAATGTGTAATGAAATAACATAAGTTTATCTCAAATTATAGTTTTCTATACTTTCTTTGCTATACTCAAACACTTAAAACTTGATTTGGAGACGAAAAATCAATTGAAAATGATTGAAGATTTATAAGGGTTTTGTTTATGAAAAAATGGAAAATGAATGAAATAGTTGAAATATGTGATCATGCAACATTTTTTATATAGAAAAGATAGTTTCGAAGATGTACATCTTAAATTACCTATTAACATATTTCGTACTTGCAATTCCGAAACTACTTCAAAAAAATTTAAATTCGAACGTTTATATTATAAAACATGGAAAAAAATGTTTTCGTCTAAAGAATATTTTTTTGGATTTTCAAGGATAATTTTCACCACTACTAAATATAAAAATAAATTCACAATAAATAAATAAACAAACAAATAACTAAATAAATAAATAAAACATATTTTTATTTTAAGATGTGTCGGTGGATGTCAAAACTCAAATGGATGTATACAAATTAAAGGGCGTATCAACATCCCTATAATTTTATAAGTTTTATCACATGAGTTAATTAAGATATTAATATCTACTTTAGTATAGTATTTAAATTGCAATTTAGAATATTTAGTTTGGCTTCTTAAATTAATTTGACTTGTTAAATTATTAATGTGGCGTATTTTAAAAAGTTTTTATATCATTAAGATTAATATTTTTTAAGGTGCAAATTAAACCGTAAAATTTTAGATGATGTTGAATTAAGTTTTTGTAAGAGTTCTAGCTAAAATTATTAAGTTTTTATTTTTATATCCAACCCATTTCCATTAAACAGAAAAATCAGAATGGGACAACACAGATGAAGGGATAAATCCCAACCAGATTTTAGAACCAACAAGATTACCTATCCCAACTAAAGAGTGGGGCTTCTACATTGCTATCTCTACCAATAAACAAAACAACAAACTCAGAGAAATCGTTAAGCAAACAACTTCGGTCATTGACAACTGAAACGATATCCACGCATATTCTAACTTTATTCACGCAGTCCACCACCTGCAGCGCATCAGAGTGCACAACAACCTTTGACAGCTTCAGGACTCTAGCCAACTGAATTCCCCAACGCATAGCTAAAGCTTCCGCCACTAATGGCCCCGCACTGCTCTCCATTTTTTTGCTCGCAGACAGAATTACCTTATTATGCAGGTCCTTAATCACACAAACCAGAACCACAAAGCCCGAATCAAAACAGCCAGCATCCACAAACAACAGGAGAGTATCTTATCTTCAAGATAGTTAAGGGGCCTTTCCCATACAGTCCCCTTCAATCTAACTTTCGCCACCTGATTCTGCAGAGAAAAATCAAACACATACTCTTTCACTTCCCTGGCAATTCAAATAGGGTCCCTATCTATGTTCTCAAACACCTTCATATTAAGCGCTTGCCAAATTTTCCAGAAAGTGGTACAAAACAGTTGTGCAACCAAAGGCTCGTGGCTGTCGAAGCAGGCATCTAATCAATCCATCGCCTCCAGATTTTTTCTGGTACTCTTGTACCTGTTGGAAGCGCAAACCATACAAGCTTCGCAAACTTGCATTGCAAGAAAATATGTTGAGTAATTTCAGGGACCAAAAGGCAGAACGGACAGAGAGATTCTACACAACATTCTTTATTAAGTTAAGTTTGTGTAAACTCAGTTAAGTCTACCCATGATGGGTAGACTTTGGTACTATTTGAGGCTGCTTCAAGTTTTCTATGTAAAAAACTCAAAAACAAATTGCACTTAATCATAATTTAAAAGACGGTAATTGAAGTTGTTTTCTATGATTTTTCTCTCTCTCTCTCTCTACTTGAGGGAACGACACTTGAGGCATACTGTGGCACAGTGGAAATGATTTAATAATGAGATAAGAACTCAAATTGGATTGTTTAAATCTTGACCATTAGAAATGTCCTACAATGGTTTAAGTTTTATAAAATGAAGTTCCTTAATAGAAAATCACATAAAACTGTAAAGAGAAACATAAAGCAGAAGCCTTTTAGATAAATGTAAACTCAATAACAATTCACAAGCAAAAATTGGACAGTGATGCGGTATTGTTTTGTCAAACAAGAGCTAGCACGCCTATGATACTCTTGGAAGCTAAATTTTAGGCACCCAAACTTCCTCAGTACCATAATTATGTAAAGTAAAAAAATATGAAAAGTGAGAGCAATCCATCCCACTTATTATCTATTGACATGTAATATAAAGAACTCAAACGCTTTAGATGCTCTTCTCAACTCCAAGCCTCAAACGGAAATCTCCTTCCATAAGAGGAAGACCGTCGCGCAGCTTGACCTTTGGTTCCCAGCCAAGTAATTCTTGAGCTTTGGTTATGTCTGGTTTTCTCTGTCTTGGATCATCAGGAGTGTTCTCCACTATCTTTATCTCCACATTTGGATTAATAAGCTGCAAATCAACGACAAAGCATGCTTTTAAAACTATCTCCTAAGTTGAGTTTTAGAAAACGCTTAACTTAGTCATTTGTAATTTCACACGGGTGTAAGAGAAACTATGAGAGGGAGAATGCTCTTTAAAAGGGATAAAAGATTTGAACTGACCTCCTTCACTGTTTCAGCAAGTTCAAGCATAGTGAATTCACCTGAAAAGGCAAAGAGACGTGAGTGATCAAATAAGCAAAAAGAGGGTAAAGATATTATTATAACGATTCAAAAAGCAAGGAAACTGATGTGGTAGAAATCTAACCTGGGTTTCCAAGATTGATTGGACCGGTGTCTGATCCTCCCATGAGACGGATAAGGCCATCAACCTAGGGGATACCAGAATGCACAAAATCAACATACCACTAGTAATTCAATGAATTACAAAAAACAAAAATTGAATGGGACATATTACCAGGTCAGAGACATAACAGAAACTGCGAGTTTGCGTTCCTGGAGATTGGACTGTCAAGGATTCACCACTAAAACACACCAACCGTTGCATCAGAAAAGACGATTGTTGAATTGGTAAGCATCAGTTTAAAAATGTGGAGATCATAGAAGAAAAAAATGTAAGTTTAATTACCGTAATGCTTGAGCGATGAAGTTACTGACAACACGTCCATCATCAATATTCATGCGCGGCCCATATGTGTTGAAGATTCTTGCAACACGTATTTCTATGTTGGAAAGAATATAAGCTTTGTTAAATTACTAAGAGAAGACATCTACATGCAATAACTTACAGAGAATGAGAGGAAATTAAGAGGAACGGAAGACAGGGAATCACCTATTCCATGCTGTCTATGATAATCAAACATCAAAGTCTCAGCCACACGTTTCCCCTCATCATAGCAGCTACGAACTCCTGTTATGGACAAAATTAAGTTCTTATCAACAGGTTTTCAAGGTTTATTTTGTACCGGTTTCTTTCAAAGTCGCAGCAACAGATATGATTTCATTTAAGGTCAATATACGAGTTAGAATGACATAAAAGCACGTACCAATAGGGTTAACATTGCCCCAATAGGTTTCAGGTTGAGGATGCTCAAGAGGATCCCCATATACCTCTGAAGTTGACGTAAGCAAAATCCTGTCAACAAAATAAGAACTAAGACTCTGCCAAGAAAAACAGAACAAAGACCAGCTGATGATGGAAGCTGAAGTTATAAATCTTATTCCCAAGAAAATTCCTAACCTTGCTCCAACTCGTTTTGCAAGCCCAAGCATGTTCAGAGTGCCAATCACATTTGTCTTGATTGTCTGTCAATTATTTATTTCCTTACACATTAAATAATCTCTCAACGATTATTAGAAAATTTAGACTTATGAATCAGTGGTGCAGCATATATAAATATACTGCAGATTGCAGAATGTAGCGTAATACATGTGGGTTCTATGCACTTTTATAAGAAGCAGCCAATTTAGTTACAGTACAATGAATGGATGTATAAAGTAATATTTGAAATTGTTGATATGACTGTGTCTACTTACTAAGTAAACAGTATGATTAAAGACAAAATAAGACAGTGTCATACCTTCACAGGATTATATTTGTAGAAAATAGGAGATGCAGGACATGCGAGATGGTAGATCTGATCCACCTCAAGCATCAAAGGCTCAGTGACATCTACAAAGGGATCAGAATGACAAATTCATCAGCATTACTGAATTACTAACTGATTTGAAGGCACGCCGAACATAATATACTAAGAACACAATTTATCATTCACAATTTTCAGCTTTCTCAATGCCAGCTGATCAAAATTGAAATTCATATAGAAACAGCTTTTGTATTCTTTTAAGTTAAGGGAAAACATTTTACAACCTCCATACCAGTGTTTAGAGATGTACTACTAAATAGAACAAAAAATAAATTTCCATTCAATGTGGTACATCCACAAAAAGTTCTATACATAGACTGTTGAGTAAATAAAGATAGACTTTACCATGACGGATAAGCTCAAATCTTGGATGACCAATCCATTTTTTGAGGTTGTCCTTCGATCCAGTGAAGTAGTTATCAGCAACAACGACCTGATTAAAGATGTTGATGTTAATGAAGTTGATCAGATCACATTGCATTATGTATATTTTATCAAATTTAGGGTGATAATGTTGCGTAAGAAGACTAGAATCAATGAAAAAAACAATATAGTAACTCCAAAATCGTAAGAAAAATGAGCCAACCTCATTCTTTTCATTTTCCATCAATCTATCGACAAGGTGAGAACCAATGAATCCAGCTCCTCCAGTAACCAAGATTCTCATGTTAGACTATTGTCAAAAATGAAAGAAAAGTTAGTTAATCAAGGCATCGAAACAAAAAAAAATGCTATGCAGACTAAGTGAATCTGACAAGGCCACATTCATAATCACGTAACAAATTTCAACAAACCGTTGAATTTGGACATCCTGCAGAAATAATACCACATAATCACACCGTTCATTTGAAATTGGACGAATCAGATTACAAATTCGCCCAACCAATTTTACAAGATCTCCACCGTTGATTTAAATCAGACAGTCAGATCAGTAACTACATCAGACAGTTACCGCAACAAATCTGTTTTCAGATAGCTAAATGGAAAAAACTCAGTCATCATCCCCAGGGATAACAAATAAGACTAATTCAAGAATATAACAATAGGGTCATAGTAAGCTTTGACAGTTCAATTTTTTTAAGCTTTCAGTGAATAGTGGTCGTGTTGTGTGTAAAAAGCAAAGCACACTAACTTGCATGTACTAGTACTAAAGAGCAAACTCATAAACAATGTACACGTTCAATGTCCGCTAACACGACACCGACCCATGTGCCTACATACAATCACTTCAATTTGTGCTACTTATTACAAAACTCACAACAACAAAAAAACTAAGAGAGGGAAAATGAGAACAAAGAAAATTAAATTAACAGTTTCGTATCAGATGATCTAGAAAACAAAAGAGAACAACAATGTGACAGAAAATCCATTTGACCTGAAAGAATTTGGAGAAACGCAGGGGAGATGGCAATGGAGGTTGCTTAGCTGTTGTTTGATCTCCATTAGAAGAATTCGCAGCCATTGCAAGAACCTCTGAAAAACTTCAATTCCTGCATCAATTTCACAGAGATCAAAATCAATTCACCGATCAGAAAAATCAAAATTCTCAGAAACGAAAATCAAGTAAAGGTAAAATTAAGAAGATAAAATGAACCTGATCGCGAGATTGAAAAAGAGAAACGATGAAACCAAAACCCTAGCACTCGTGTGATCTAATAACACTGTAATAAGACCAATTTATATATAGAAGACAGAAAAAGAATTAGATCCAATGAGAGAATTTTTAAATCATTCACCAAACGCTTATTCTATAAAAGTCTTAAAAAAAAGAATTAAAAAAAAAAAAGAATTTAATTTGGAAGGTTTGAAAGTCACGTAAAGTTGAAGGAAGTAATGAAAGCTCCTGAGCAACGAACGAGAAGAGTGATGAATGATGGATCACACCAAACAGAAGATGCAAAAGAAGAGGAGAATCAAATTGGATTAAGTTAAGTAATTAATTACCTAACTTATTGATTATTGATGTGATTGGAATGGGTCCAAGTTGGAATTGGATTTTGAAGGTTGAGTGAATTCGGGAATGAAATTGATAGAGATAGATGATTAATAATATTAATATAGATAATGTAATAATTATACTATATATGTATTAGAGATTAAATCCCTGTTTAGCTGTAATTCAAAGATAAAATCTGAATTATATTATTATAATGTCTCTCTTAGGAGGGAGGTGAAGTGGAGAAAGGAGAATTGGTGAGCGTGTTTGAGACGATACCGAATATGCTGGCGCTCATATACGACATGACCAACCATGGGGTGACACGTGTAGTTTGAAAATTGCATGTTGAATTTAAGTTGGATGGACAAAAAAGACAGACATGAGTGTGTTGCAATCTACCTTAATCTAACGAACGCAAATGTAACCTAAACGCTTTCATTATCTAACGCTATGTTTACGCTATGTTTGAATGTTTGGATGTTTTGACAATGAAATAAAATGGAGTGATAAATAATTAAATCTTATTGCTTGAATTTTATAAATAATAAACGTAGCAGAAATAATCATGACGTGTCTATCAATTTTTCATTTCATTTTGTAAACTATGTACTATTAGGGATGTTCGAAATTCGTTGGAAATTGAGAATCATCGGTAGTTTAATGTATACACTCTCTCGATAATTATTTTTTCTTTTCAAAAGTTCTAGTTCATTCGAGTTAAAGTGTTTATAGTTCATGAAAGAACTAAATTATATTTATGATTTAATTCAGTTTTTAATAATTATTTCAATAAAAGTTTAATTAAATAATAAAATAATTCAATTCAATTTAAAATTAATTTAGAATTAGTTTATTTTTATAAATTAGTTTATAATAGTAATTAAAATCAATTTTATATTTTTAATTATTTTAAAATCAATATTTTTATATAAAATTTCAAATTGTTTATATTAAAAAAATATTTCAAAAATATATTTTTTGTTTGGAAATTTTTTTTTTGAAAAAAAGTAATATTTTTTAAGAAATTTTTCTTTGGGGAAATTTCTTTTTAGAAAAATAATATTTGGAAATTTTCTTTTTAGAAAAAATATCATTTCTTTTCAGATTTTTTTTTTATTTTGGGAAATTTATTTTTTGGAAAAATATTTTTTATTTTGAGATTTATTTTTCTGAAAAATATGTTATTTTTGAAAAAAATATTCACAAAAATAATTTTTTTTTTCGAAAACTAATTTATATAATCAAATCAAGTTATAACAAAATTGGTTTTGAATCAGTTTTAAACTGAATTTGAATTGTTTTAATTAAATAGTTCAGTTTATTAACTATTTAAATGGTTTAGTTTTTTTATGTTGGAGTTCAATTCAATTAACTATATTTTTAAACACTTCTAATATGAGTGTGCCTTTTGTTTCTCATCCTATGAGATAGTATCATTTTCATTTATTTTTTTTGTGTAAAATTTTATTTTTCGCATTGCTTATCTATGTCTCTTGAAATTTGATTGGGTGTTTATGTTCTAAAGATATGCAATATATTTGATATGTAATACAATCTCATGAGTGTTCACTTCTAAAAAATTTATTGTTAACCTATTAGTGTTTTCAATCCATATGTCTATAATGACTTTATATTTTAATCTTTTGTATTTCATGGTATGAACTCTTTACATTTGAGATATCTTATGATAGTATGTTTGGACATGTTATTTATCTCTCTTGTATTTTTGTGCGTTGTTAATTATTTATGTTTATACATTTTTTCACCTCATTATCATTCTATGTGAGTGCTGGTGTTGTTGATCAAAATTATCTTTGCAACGCCTCTGAGTGGTATATATGTGATTGTGTGTTTTACTTGATGTTTCTTACGTTTTGCAGTATTTTTCTCTTTTTGATGTTGTCAAATGGGAGAAGTTATGCAAGAACAAAGAACATCGCCTCGTATAGTTTTGTAAATACTAAAAAGGAGATGCATATATTCAGGGGGAGATATGATCAGAGACTACAAATACGTCGTATGTTTTTCCATCATCAAAAAGGGGGAATATGTGAGTGCAATATCCTCTCTTAGATGTTTATTAATGATGTCAAAACTAGGTAATATGTAATATTTGTACATTGGACCTTATATTTCTATGTCTAGGTTGCATTTTCATCTCAGGATACTTAGGGAACAAGTCAAAAGCATTTGGACAAGTTAAAAATATCAAAAATATATAATTTTCTTGTAAAAATTCATGTTTAGAGTCGACTCACCCATGTTAGGAGTCGGCTCCCATTTGAAGTATTTTGAAACAAAACTCTCAACTACAAAAGAGTCGATACACGGAGCTTTGAAGTCGATACAAAATATGAAGAAGTCGACTCTCTCGAGTTGTGGGTCGACTTAAACTGAAAGCTATTTTGAAAAATTATTCCCTAGCCAGTATGGGTCAACTCCCAGGCCATTGAAGTTGATACGAAGCACAAATGAGTCGACTACCACAAGCTATGTATCGACTCCTACTAAAGCATATTTCTTAAAAAATAAAATCCACTTGGAGTTGATTCCCTTGCCCTTGTGGGTCGACTCCCACTTTGAATGAGTTGATTCCCACTGTTAAAAATGTCCAGTTTTATAATTTTATAACCCTATTTTTTTATGTTTCATTCTTTCACACACACACACACACACACACACACACACACACACACACACACACACACACACACACACACACACACACACACACACACACACACACACACACACACACACACACACACACACACACACACACACACACACACACACACACACACACACACACACACACACACACACACACACACACACACACACACACACACACACACACACACACACACACACACACACACACACACACACACACACACACACACACACACACACACACACACACACACACACACACACACACACACACACACACACACACACACACACACACACACACACACACACACACACACACACACACACACACACACACACACACACACACACACACACACACACACACACACACACACACACACACACACACACACACACACACACACACACACACACACACACACACACACACACACACACACACACACACACACACACACACACACACACACACACACACACACACACACACACACACACACACACACACACACACACACACACACACACACACACACACACACACACACACACACACACACACACACACACACACACACACACACACACACACACACACACACACACACACACACACACACACACACACACACACACACACACACACACACACACACATATATATATATATATATATATATATATATATATATATATATATATATATATATGCGTATATGTGTGTGTGTGGTGTAAATGTGTGAAATAATGAAACAAAAAATAGGATTGTAAAATTATAAAATTGGACATTTTCATGCATCATTTCTCTTTATTGAAACAAAAAATATACAAAGATTTTCATCATCTTCATCTTTTCTCATTGCATACATACAATAATTACACATAATTATTTTTATTGTGTGATCAAGAGATAGTTTGATAAGGTTCAATTAGGATTTGGTGTAATCAATTGGATTGAAAATTCTTTGGGGGTTTCAAGATAAAATCATTTGGGGTTTTCTTCCAAGATCAAGGATTGATTTGGAAGTTTTTCACTAGATTGTGCAATTTGAATTTATTCGAGTGAAAGCTTTGAAGAACAAGGATTTCTGTCAAAGAAGTAACGGTAACCGGAAGATCACTTTGGTAATCTTGGGATATGATACGTTTGCAATTTGAATTCAGTCGAGCGAAGGCTTTGAATAATGAGAGTTATGTTAAAGGATTAGTGATAATCGAATGATCAAATTGGAAGTATCAGGTGTTTCTGTGCAAAACAATCGCTAGACTCTTATTAAACGTTACTTGCAGAATTTGCTACAATAATCCTAGACTTAGTGTTTTGAGTGTTTTTGGATTGAAACCTATTTATAAAAGGTAAATGGGCAAAAGATAAAGACAATTGCAAAGTAGAGAAATTAAAGACAAGACTTGTAATTTTAAAGTAAAAACTGGAAATTTTTATGAATTTAAAGGTGGAAGCATTCATACATTATTAAGCCTGAAACTTGTTTCTCTCTTAGATGCGGGTACTTTGAATGTAATGCTCTAAATGTAAAGAAATGTGACCCTTGATACAAATACAAAAATTTGCTTAAATAGAAATCATAAATGTGTAATCATCGACGGTTACTATCCCACGTTGGGCCTTGTGAAGAACTACTTGTGAACATCTCCCACGTTCTTATTGGCTTGCGTGTTGATAATTTTTCCCGCCATCATAAATCTTTACTCGTCGATATAACACCCTGAATTCTAGATTAATTATTTAATTGATTAATTTAGCATGATTATATGAGTTAATGTGAAGTGTTTGATGTCTTGATGATTATGTGTGATCCTTTATAGGGATTTGTGATATT